CGAGCTCCGCCCTCCGCCGGCCTCGCCGCCTCCTCCCTCCTCCCTCGCTCGCTCCCTCCCCCGGGCCGGCTCGGCGCTGACTCCGCCGCACGCTGCAGCCGCGGCTGGAAGATGGCGGGGAACGACTGCGGCGCGCTGCTAGACGAAGAGCTCTCCTCCTTCTTCCTCAACTATCTCACTGACACGCAGGTACGGCCGGCCGTGGCCGCGGGCCCGGGGCCAGGGTGCTGAGCTGCGGGGCTGCAGTCGCAGCTGCGGAGGCCGGGACGCAGCCGTGGGTGCACTGGGGAGATCAGGGGTTCCGGGCTGCAGAGCCCCCCTTCCACGCGCCTTTCAATGCGCTCCGTTACTGGGCTGGGTTGCCGGAGGACCCCGGCGCGTGCTGGAGCAGAGGGGCGCACGGCCGCTGGGGAGGGTCTGATGTGGGCTACCTGGAGTCAGGCGACCCCCCGCGAGCAGAGCTGGGGGTACGGCTCTTCCTTGGGGAAGTGGAGCCACGCCAAGGTATGGGGGACCCTCATGCTGGCGCTGGGTGCTGTAGGTGCGCCCTCAGCGCCCGGCACTTGCTGCCGTACTTTCACGTGGACTTGTGGCCGCGGTACCGGCGCCTGCCCCCATCCCCGGAATCTCCTGGTCCTTCAGCCTCCGGTCCCCCCAAGTGTTGCTGTGGGCCCCTTGCAGCTCCCCACCCGCGCCCGCAGCGCTGAGTTTCCTGTCAGTTGCCGGCTTGGGTATAGGGGTTTGCGGGGCACGTGGACATGCGGGCGGAGATAGCGCCTTCCTGGTTTCGTTATCCGGAGGAGCCCCCCCCCACCTCATGGGAAAAGCAAGACAGGATGGGGGCCGGAGGACTGTCTGGGGGTGCCTGGGTCCCCTTGCGGTGCGCGGCCCCGGCGCGCGCTCCACTATACTGTGGGGGAAGGGAGGCGAGGCGGCGTCCCGGGTTCTGGCTGTGCCTGGGAGCCCCACCGGCGACACGCGCGTGACAGGAGAGGTACTCTGGTGTCCGAATGAGGGGTGAGGCGAGGAAACTGGTGGCTTGGAGACCGGGAGAGGGGTGCTCTTGTACAAGCAGTTACCTAAAATGCCTGCACAAGGTGTGCGCGCCCCCCACCCCTTACCCCAGTTCTCCACCCCATGCCTGTTGCAAGCATAAAGTTTGGCTCCAGAGTTAGGGCTTTTTCACCCGGCGCCCAGCTGCGGGTTACTGGGAGGCTGAGCGATGCGGCGCAACCTTGGAGAAGACCCCGGTTGCGGGAACACGCCTGGGCGCGGAGAGCAGCCGCCGGGCGGAACCTGGGGCTGGTTTGGTACCTGGAGTGGGAGCGCCGGTGCCGGCCCGTTTTGCATAACACTGGAAGGGAGGGGGAAGGCGGAGGGGGGCCGGGAGGTGGGAGGAGAGAGGGAAACTTTGCTTCTTGTAATAATCTGCCAGTCTTTGGGCGGTAGCAGCTGTCATGGGACCGGGTGGGCGGGGAGAGGCTTGCAAGCTGACTCCTTGCGGTGAGACGCGATTTGGAGGGGGACGCAGCAGCCGAGACGTTCAGCTCCGGGAAGACTCTGGGTGGCGACTTCAGGCTGGCCACTGGGACACAGCGGCGTGGCGGTGTGTCGCCGAGCGGAAGCCCGCCACGAACGGGAGACAACCGGTCCTAGCCCTCGGGCAGACGCCGCTGCGTCGGGGAGCTGCGGGGCCGTGGGGTCTGTGGCAGGCGCTCTCGGGTGGGTTCGCGACCGACACCCAAGGGGCTGATGGCTTGTGATCGCGCTTCTCCAGGTCGGGGGGCAGTGTTTGATGAGCGGGCTGCGCGCGCGAGTGTGTGTGTGTGTGTGTGCACACGCCGCGCGCGCCGAGCGCGTACCTTTACCTCTGACGAAACTGCAGTGGAGCTCCGGCCGCCGTCGCTGGGTTCCGTCACACGCCCGACACTTGTATCTACGCCGAAGGCAGATCCTAGCCTCAGCACTCCGTGGCCGATAGCCTAGGACTACGAGGACTGGGTTGGAGGTGGCTAGAGTGTCCCCTCCGAAAACACTGCCCCCAGATCTCGCTGTTGAATGGAGTCGTCTGCAAACCTCTACACTGAGAAGCCAGGGAAGCCTGAAATAGCCAGGGAGACTTCGTCAGGGATCTCATACCAAGAATTGTCTGCTCTGGACATGACCTGGGTTTTAACTCTTATCTTCAGTGTTTGGCTCACCAATAATTATTATTTTCCCTTTTAGCCGCCAACTTAGCCTACTCAGTGGGAAGATTTCACCCAAGGAAACTAGAAAATTGGGTAATTAGGTGTCAGCTGAAGCAGTGCGGTGAAAGTTAATCTGGGAAGTTTGCTTTTTTTTTTTTAACTTTAACCACGTGACAGGCGGAAGATCTCTTGGTGATCTTTGCCGGCCCAACTTGGGAAATGTAATTGATAGGAGAGCTTTGCAGCCACCCCTAGAAGGCTTAGAGAGCCCAGCCGGAAGAGGACCTGGGCGGGTCATCGCCTGCCTCCTCTTTTTACAGTTGGGGAAGAGGCTTCGAGGGGTTGAGCGGCTTGTACAGGACCACTCAGCCAGCGGGTGACAGAGCCGCCCAGGGCTCCTGACTCCAGGTCCTGTGTGTTACCTTGAAATAGCACTGGACTTGGAGTCAGAAGGCCTGAGTGGAGTCACCTTCCCCACTCTCTGGCTGAGTGACCCTGAAGCAAGCCATTTTAACTCTTGGAGCCTGGTTCCTCCATCTGTCAAATGGGGCTGGTGGTGGTGGCCAGCGAAGCTGAAGGCCTGGTGGTGGGGGTGAGCATTGTTTGCATGTGAGATGTCTGTTCCTGCAGTCCCCTTTTCCCCCCACAGCCCTTC